AGCGAGAAGGTGACCATTAATGTTATATGGATGGAAGTTAATGGAAAAATTGAACAATGAAATACATAGGTAGACAAATTAGTGTCAGTGGTATAACAGGTACGTTTTTAATTCAAATTATACTCTCACCTTTTTTTGATGATAATTTCTGTATTTATGAAAAATCAATACTGAAATATTAAAAAAAAATCATCGCTTTTTATCCACGTAAAACCTAAAATATTTTCTATATATTTCGATATAGAGATCAAAAACAGTTTTTAAAAGTCCACTCGTCGACATAGAAGCTCAAAATTATTTTTTTTTAAATCCACGCTCCGATATAGAAGCTCACTTTTTCACTGCACCCTGAGAAATCCCAAAGTTGGGGCCCATCGGTTCACTCTTTCTGGTATCTCCCCCAGAAAGTATCAAATTATTGAAATGTTCATATGTTGCGAATTGAATATCCGATTTGATAAATACTATAAATACCGAACTATCAATCATCAAGTTGGAAAATTTGCGCTAGGGCCTTAATGGTCCGATCGACAGGATATTGGACAAATACCACAAAAGCCATTAGAAAAATCATTTGTTAAGCTTGTTTAAATCTTCAACATCCGACTTTCGACCTTTCTTACTTACTTAGCTGGCTTGTTACAGAACGGTTGCTCCATAAGCCGAACTTAAAAAAGATTTCCAAGCTCGTCGGTCTTGTGCGCATCTCCTACAATTTGAAAGACCATGTTCTGAGATGTTCATTCATTCGCTCAACATGGCCTAGCCACCGTAGTAGCTGCAGCTCAATACGACTGACTATGTCTGCGTATAGATTGTAAAGCTCGTGGTTCATTCGACGCCGATATTCACTGTCGACGCAGACCGGTACGTAGATCTTTCAGAGAATTTTTGTCTCAAACAGCCCAAGAGCTGTCTCATCTGCTTGCGCAAGTACCCATGCTTCAGATCCATATAACAGCATGGGTAGTATCAGCAGTGTTGCCAAGTTAGCACTTTTAGTGCTAGATTTAGCACTTTTTAAACTCGTTTAGCACCAAAAAAATCGCTCTAGCACCTAGCACTTTTTTTAGCATTTTTAATTTGTTCCAAGATTTTTTCAAAGATTTTAGTATCACTTCAAAAAATTTTGGTTTTTCGATTTCACATTGACGTTTCTGTATGTTTTACATAGTGGATTTGATTTTCCAATGCTTTTTCAGTGATTGGAGCAGTATAGTCGGAAGGGGCTATCAATATGATGATGATATGAAACTACCACAAGACTTAAATTTTCTGCGAAACTAATTGCCATGTCGGTGAAAAATTCTGCGAGTTATCCACCTCCTGGGTTATAATAATACTACAATATCAGAACATAACAAGTAAAAATGATTTTAAGTTTGGCCCATCCGAACTTTTTATATCCTCCACCATGAGGATGAAAATCAAAATGTCTAAAATGAATGGGGCCTCCTAGGAGAAAACTCATGTTATGATAGAACCCTGAACATACCGAAAATACGTTGTAAACAGATATTGAAATTCTCAAAACATCTAATAGTGGGACTACCGTTATGTGGGGCTATAATAAAACAGAGATCAATATTGATAGTTTTGGTAGTGAGATTTGGCAGCCAATGAGAATACAAAATACCAAATTACAGCCAATTCGGCTGAAAAACTTGTCTAAAATTCTCAAAATATCAACTTGGGTCAATATTAATAAGTTTTACTGCGGTGCTGCCGTTATGAGAACCCAAAATACAAAATTACATCCAATTTGATCGAAAAACGTGTAAAAATCCCCATATTGGCAGGTACAATATTAAGCCGGGTATGCCTTAATCGATATAGAATTTTATTCTGATCGAGAATATATATATATATATATATATATGTATATGTCTCCGGTGAAAATTTCGACGTGTTGCAAAAGGAATGACAAATTTAATATAGACTCCACCTTATGGTGGAGGGTATAAAACACTGTGAACAGTGTGAACAGTAAGTTTATATAAACCAATATAATTGAAATAAATTTAAAGGTCAGCTTGACTTCTCTTAGCTTTGTGCAGCCCCAAATGTTTGTAATAATATCTCGACTAGCAATATGTGTGTAATTTAAATAAATTTAAAGGTGGCCAATGAAGCTTTTTGGAAAAGACTTCTAGGGGATGAAATGGACCATATACTAAAAAAAATGAAATTTTCATGGAGAAATTTGCATTTTTGATAAAGATCGGTCAATATTTAGCGGGTCAAATGGACCCTGACTTGTGTGAAAAATGGCAAAATTTGTATTCTATGGCATATATATTTAAAGGATGTAGACCCCAGGAGTTGATAGCATATCCAAGAGGAGTGGTTGGCCTTTAAATTGATACCAAATATAGTGATGTATCTACTCAGATGTGGGAGTTACAGTCAAATATTTACAGGTGCTTACGTATTCAGATATTATTTAGTAACCCATTACCACATTAGAGGGAGAAATATCTCGCTGATGGCTTTGTCAAGAACAACGCCTACAATTTTCGGTGATGATCAGGATACAATTTTGGGATGAAATGGACGGAAAACATAATTTTTTGTGTGTTTTCGAGTAGAGTATAATCCGAAAATCACAACACAACCCACCGTGAAGGTAATCTGGACAAGTAATTAGAAGGACTGTACAGAATATTCGAAAAAAAAGTAAGAAAGAGCTGTTGTTGACCTCTAATCGGACAACAGGGGGCAAATATCACGAAATACTACTCAGACTCAGAATAAACATCCTCAGAAAGTTAGAGTTCGTGGTAGTTGTGTAGGGTATCGTATGGTCGGCCCCGTCCGACTATACTGCTCCGCTCACTGGTTTTTAATTGTCTTGCTAAAGCCTTGGCTCATTTAATTAGAAAAATATTGACAGATCATTATCAAAGCAGTCATGGTTTTCCGTTGAGTAGATTTCCCGTATTTATTGGGTTATTGGTGTTCGGGTTACAAAGGCGGCATCAAGAAAAAAAACTATACTAAAATGTGCGTCCAGGACCAATATTTCGTGACGTTACAAGCTGTTGTAACACAAACACTTATAACATCCCCACAAAATATTAATTATAATCAAATTTCTTTATATTAATTTTTAGAACTTTTTTCTGGCACTTTTCTAAAATTTTTAGCACTTTTTAGCATATTTTTCAACAAGATCTAGCACTTTTTTTCAATCAAGTTTTGGCAACACTGATGGTATCCCAAATAACCCGCCAAACACTACTGAAGTTGTAGACGAGGCACGGTCATACTGTTTGGTTTATTGCTTTAACTAGCAATACCAACAACAACGTTATGTGCATTCGTCACAAAGTGACGACACATAGCAGTGGGAAATGTGTTGTAGTTGTCTGTAAATGCCTTGTGGACCACGAAGTCAGGCGCCAACGAAACGAACTTCTCATTGGGGTCGTATCGCTGGTAACGTAAGAACTTCGAATTGTCACAAGAGACATTTGGGTTTGAAAGGTTTTTTGTAAAGAAGCTATTAATAGCTTCTGGGGAGAATATCCCAACAAAAAACTAAGGGAACTGATGAGGATCAGTGGCGAGATCCGAAACTATAGTCTTCCCTGCCTTACCCCTCGGCGGACAATGCCATACATTCCCCACTAATAAATAGTTGTTTTTTATAAAAACAACAAACTGGGATTAAGCCTGACTATTTTGCAAAAACAAAATACAAATGGTATCCCAAATAACCCGCCAAACACTATAATGACATTAGTATAACCTAACCTAACTATCTGTTGAATATACCCAAAGTGGTGAAGGATATCATATAGTCGGCACCGTCCAACTTTACTACTTTCTATACTGGTTTAAGGGCCCCCCCCCCCCCATTCTCGGTGTCAAAAATTTTTTTTGATTTAATTCGAATCTACTCTAATTCTAGAATGTTCCTACAAAATTTCAAGTGAAAATCTCAAGAACTCTTGAAGATATAGCCGATTTATTGTGCAGCATCAAGTGACGGCTAAAGGGCTTCTCAAACTTTAAACGCGTTTTTCTCAAAACGAATGGCGGGCACGATAACTCAAAAACTAATAATCCAATCGGTTTCAAATTTTGACACGTTTCTCTGGGAGTGTGTAGCTCTCGTATGAACTAGGATAAAGCCAATCGGTGAAGATCTTCCTTACTTTTTAACTTAATTTGTGGTAAAAAATAGGCGATTTTTCATAAAAAATTTTTCAAAGTTCCGCCATTTTGTTAATTGTTGTGCGAAGTCAATAATCCTAGTTCATACGAGAGCCAGACATGTCCTCTTTCTAACACAGTTGGAATTTTCGGATTCCGATGTTCCAGTGAGGCGTTATCATGCCCGCCATCGAAAATATGGTCTTTTCTTTGAACCCCAAAAACAACAACAACAAATTTTGGTAAATTATTTTTCTTCCTTTTTAAATCTTCAAATATATATGTGCCAAGTTACAAACCTTAACAAGCATTGGTATTCATTTACCAGCCCATTTAAAATCTTAAAAATAAAAAATCGAGAATGGGGGGGGTTCCCTTAAAGAATATTTTAGTCATGGACCAACACAAGTCATGCGAATATTTTTCATGGAATATGTTTAAAAAAAATATTGTTTTTATAGAGAAGACCACACATCATAGTGATTTCATTAAAGAATATTATTGACAGATCTACCCTCGTAATACGAAAGCCATATATTCGTATATCAGTTATAACAGTGTCCAACACGAAAAAGCATTATTGATAACGAATTTCACCACAATCTGCATACGCCGATCTTCTAACAAATATTATTTGAAATTGAACAAATTTTCGATCAAGCTTTCAAATTACGATAATGAAAACTTGTACTCAATATGAAGAGGAAAACAGAAAAAAGCTTTACGTTTAACTTAACATTCAATCGCGTTCAATACAGAGTGTCAGTCATTATTTTATTATCACATCGAAAACAACACACCCGCTCAAGAAAAAAACCAAACAAAGAAAAACATCGATAAAATATGCTATCGACAATATTAGCCGGTATTTGCCTTCTACTGCTTGTCGTATACTTATTTTTGATTTGGCCCTATGATTACTGGCAGAAACGCGGAGTAAACGGGCCGAAACCTTTGCCATTTGTGGGAAATTATTTGAGTACTTTAACCCTGAAGCGGAATATTGTCCTTGATATTCAGGATGTCTATGAGTGAATATTCATGAAGATAATATTTAAAATTGCATTTGTATTATTCTTTGGAATGTTGTTTCTTTTTTTCAGTAAACATTAACATACCGATAATTTTGTGGGAATTTTTTCCGCACGGACGCCACAATTACTAATTACCAATGCCAATATGGTCAGGCGAATTCTGGTCTCAGACTTTAAAAAGTTTCACGATAATTATTTTACAACAATGGTGAGTATTTGCAGATCTTTTTTTAAGGTCCAACACTATGTCGAAGAATTTTAAAGAATGCCAAGGGTCAGCACATACATACAATAATTTTTTCAAGGTCCCGAATAGGCGAGGATTATGAAAAAAATATTTTTCTAGGTCCCCCCCGAATAGGCGTGGATTTTTTAAAGAATATTAATCAAGGTATAAGATACTATTTTTTAAGGTCCCTAATAGGCGTGGATTTTTGAAAGAATATTTTTTTAAGTTCCCTAATAGGCGTGGATTTTTGAAATAATATTTTTTAAGTTCCCTAATAGGCGTAATTTTTAAAATAATATTTTTCAAGGTCCCTAATAGACGTGGATTTCGAAAATAATATTTTTCAAGGTCCCTAATAGGCGTGGATTTTGAAACTAATATTTTTCAAGGTCCCTAATAGGCGTGGATTTTGAAAATAATATTTTTCATAGGCGTGGATTTTGAAAATAATATTTTTCATAGGCGTGGATTTTGAAAATAATATTTTTCATAGGCGTGGATTTTGAAAATAATATTTTTCATAGGCGTGGATTTTGAAAATAATATTTTTCATAGGCGTGGATTTTGAAAATAATATTTTTCATAGGCGTGGATTTTGAAAATAATATTTTTCATAGGCGTGGATTTTGAAAATAATATTTTTCATAGGCGTGGATTTTGAAAATAATATTTTTCATAGGCGTGGATTTTGAAAATAATATTTTTCATAGGCGTGGATTTTGAAAATAATATTTTTCATAGGCGTGGATTTTGAAAATAATATTTTTCATAGGCGTGGATTTTGAAAATAATATTTTTCATAGGCGTGGATTTTGAAAATAATATTTTTAAGAACCAAAACATAGGCGTGGATTTTGAAAATAATATTTTTCATAGGCGTGGATTTTGAAAATAATATTTTTCATAGGCGTGGATTTTGAAAATAATATTTTTCATAGGCGTGGATTTTGAAAATAATATTTTTCATAGGCGTGGATTTTGAAAATAATATTTTTCATAGGCGTGGATTTTGAAAATAATATTTTTCATAGGCGTGGATTTTGAAAATAATATTTTTCATAGGCGTGGATTTTGAAAATAATATTTTTCATAGGCGTGGATTTTGAAAATAATATTTTTCATAGGCGTGGATTTTGAAAATAATATTTTTCATAGGCGTGGATTTTGAAAATAATATTTTTCATAGGCGTGGATTTTGAAAATAATATTTTTCATAGGCGTGGATTTTGAAAATAATATTTTTCATAGGCGTGGATTTTGAAAATAATATTTTTCATAGGCGTGGATTTTGAAAATAATATTTTTCATAGGCGTGGATTTTGAAAATAATATTTTTCATAGGCGTGGATTTTGAAAATAATATTTTTCATAGGCGTGGATTTTGAAAATAATATTTTTCATAGGCGTGGATTTTGAAAATAATATTTTTCATAGGCGTGGATTTTGAAAATAACATTTTTACAAGGTTTAGCACAGGCGTGAGGGGATGATAGATACCAAACAACGGCTCTGATTGGCTTTAACATAGCGAGGTCCAGGCTTATCTTGGTGGACACTGACCTCCCCGCGGTGTCACCTGGGGTAGAGATGTGCATCACCTGTTAAGAACTATAAAAAATGGGTTGACACGTCGGGTTAGTAGCCCACACTCGGAAAACACCTCCTCCTATGAAAAAGCAAAGAAAAAGAAAACCAAAACCCACTAATGCTGACGACCCCCGCAAACGTATAAAGGGCCACGATCTGCGAATCTGCACTTGGAATTTGCGCACGATGTATAGAAAAGGCGCAGTTTTTGTTTTGGCGGATTTACTCAAGAAGTACAAAGCCGATATTATTGCCTTACAGGAAATGCGGTGGAAAGGGACAGGCGTAAGTAAATCAGACAATTATGCACAGTATTATAGCTATCATGAAACGAGACATGAATTTGGCAGCGGATTTGTGGTTAACAGGAGAATAGAAGATCTCGTCTCCAGATTCTATCCAGTAGATGAGTGAATTTCTATGATCCGTATAAAAGCGAAGTTCTTCTAAATCAGTCTCATTTGCGCCCATGCTCCGAAACAGCATATGACCGCTGCCCTGGCCATGACATTAAAATTCTGCTAGGAGATTTTAATGCAAAAATCGAAAGGGAAAATACTTTTGGCCTCATTGTTGGAAAATTCAGTCTTCATGAAGAAACATCCGACAACGGCAGCAAAAAACATGGTAGTTAGCAGCACCAGATTCAAGCATCTCGATATACACAAGGCCACCTGGATCTCTCCTGATCAAGCAATGAGAAATCAAATTGATTGACGGAAGGCATTCATCCAGTGTATTAGACGTTCAATCGATCCTAGGAGCGAATATCAATTCAGACCACTACCTTGTAGCAGCCAAGGTTCGCACTCATCTTAATGTAGCAGCAAAGGTGCGATCTAACACAACACGGAAACTCGACGTCGAAAAGCTAAAAACACAATAGATATCAGAAGCCTACTCCGCTCAACTTATCCATCTACTGGACGAAAGCACTTCTTGTCCCGCTAATAGTATAGAAGCACGATGGCAAAGAATTGCCCACTCCCTACAAACTGCAGCAAAAGCAACTCTTGGGTACAAAAAACCACCATCAAGAAACGATCAGGAGTGTCGTAATGCTACCGATGTGAAAAACGCAGGGTATAGGGCAACCCTGCAGACAGTAGAAACACGTGGTTACTTACTTAGCTGGCTTGTTCCAGAACGGTTGTTCCATAAGCCGAACTTTAAAAAGATTTCCAAGCGCGTCGGTCTTGTGCGCAAGTCCACCAATTTGGAGACCACGTTCCAAGATATTGTTTTCTACTTGGTCTTTCCATCTAATTCGTGGCCTTCCCCTTCTACGGGAACCATCGGCAGGCTCGTTTTATATGCCTTTTGAGCTGGGGCATTTTCATTCATCCGCCCAACATGGCCTAGCCACCGTAGTTGCTGCACCTCAATACGACTGACTATGTCGATGTGCGCGTATAAATTGTACAGCTCGTGGTTCATTCGACGCCGATATTCACCGTCGACACAGATCGGCCCGTAGATCTTTCGGAGAATTTTTCTCTCAAACACCCCAAGGGCTGCCTCATCTGCTTGCGCAAGTATCCATGCTTCTGATCCATATAATAGCATGGGTAGTATCAGCGTCTTGTAAAGTGTGAGTTTGCTTGGTTTGGTGGCCTTGCTTTTGAGTTGTTTGCTCAGACCATAGTAGCATCTGTTGGCCATCACAATCCTTCTCCGAATTTCGGGAGAAAAGGAGAGAGGAGAAACGCATTTTCAGAAAAAGAAGAAAAATGTGAGCAAATCGAGATGTACAGGAGTCAGAATGAAGTCCGGAAATTTTACTGGTGACAGATGACAGCGTGTTGAGGATCTGGAAGGACCATTTTTAAAAGTTTATGGTATCAAGTAGTGGCGTTGAAGAAGATACCCCAGAACCAATAAGAGATGATTGTATAGAGTGTATACCACCTACCAAAATAGCAATCAATCGGCTGAAGAATAATAAAGCAGCAGATGCCGATGTGTTACCAGCCGAACTATTTAAGTCTGGTGGTTAGATTCTGGTCATGCACCAGCTGATTAGTACAATTTGGCTAGAGGAATGCATGCCCACTGATTGAAACCTCAACATCCTGTGTCCCGTGCACAGAAATGGAGACAAGAGATATGTGTCAACTATAAAGGAATAAGTCTTCTTCCCATCGCATTTAAAGTGGTATCCAGTGTGCTGTGTAAACGACTGAAGCCAATGGTCAATGACATTATTGGACCATCCCAATGCGGCTTCAAACCTGGCAATTCCACCATTGATCAGATGTTCAATCTGCGCAAAATCCTGAAAAAGACCCACGAAAAACACATATACACATTCCACCTATTCTTCGACTATAAAGCCGCATTCGACAGCCCTATCCGTTCAGAAGTGTTTAAAGCCATGTCTGCGTTCGGAATTCCTGCAAAATTAATACGGCTATGCAGGATAACTATAAGTGGCACAAGGTCAGAAGTTAAAGTCGGAAAGGACCTATCGGAGCCCTTCAATACCGAACGAGGATTCAGACAAGGTGACAGTTTGTCTTGTGATCTTTTTAACATCCATCTGGAAAACGTCATACGAGAGGCAAAGGTGAACAGAAATTACACTCTGTACACCAAACAACATATGTTACTCGCCTACGCCGATGAAATCGATATAATGGATCGAACATTGCGAGCGGTAACATCCACCTTTGAACAAATTGAGAAAGAGTCTGTCAAAGTGGGTCTGGCAGTAAATGGCGAGAAGACCAAGCTGTACCAACTGTGGAACATGAGAACTACAGCTTCGAGGTAGTTAAAGATTGTATATACCTTGGTACCACCATAAATAAAACTAATGACATCAGTTTTGAAATTGGCCGACAGATGCTACTATATGGTCAAAGTAAGCAGTTTAGAAACCAGGCCACCTCCCGCCAGACCAAACTCACATTTTAAAAAATTGTATGAAATAAAATATGTGATATTTATCTACATGTGAAACGACCTAGATCTATCCATAAACATGGCATTCGTTTGTTACAATGGAACAAAAGTATGTAAATCGACTTCAAACAGATATCTAAAGGTCATTCGTTGGGCTAGGTCTGCACTTCTAGAAAACCCAACTACGTTATTCTATACTCAATTCTGTACGTTGTGCAAAATTTGAAGTCAATCTAACAAATATGAGGAGTTTGATGCACAATTTACTTATATATGGATGCTATATCCAAATATGAACCGATTTCAACGAAACTTGTCACAGGTTAGGCTATACTGATCTCAGTACGTTTTGTTCTTATCAGCCATATATTGGTTCCTTGGTGCGTCAATTACTTAAAATCAATCTATAATATAAAAGAGCTACATCTAAATCTCAGCCGATTTTCACTAAACTTGGCACACATTATTCTGGATTAAATTCAAAACGCTATGCAACGTAAGAACTTGGTACATTATTTAGATTAAATCGGACGAAAATATATATATATATATATATATATATCAAAATCTGAATCGATTTTCACGAAACTCAGCACACATCATTCCAGCATCAATTCAGTATGTTATGCCAAATTTCGTGCAAATCGAAAGATATATGGGACTTTGGTGTACCATTTACATGAAATCGGACGAAACTATATATGGGAGCTATATCTAAATCTGGACCGATTTTCACGAAACATACCAGGCAACATTCTAGGCTCAATTCAGTACGTTATACCAAATTTCGTGAAAATCGAAAGATATATAGGGACTTTGGTGCACCATTTACATTAAATCGGACGAAACTATATATGGGAGCTATATCTAAATCTTGACCGATTTTCACGAAATTTGGCAGACATCACTCTAGGCTCAATTCAGTACGTTATGCCAAATTTCGTGCAAATCGAAAGATATATAGGGACTTTGGTGCACAATTTACATGAAATCGGACGAAACTATATATGGGAGCTATATGTAAATCTGGACCGATTTCCACGAAATTTGGCAGACATCACTCTAGGCCCAATTCAGTACGTCATGACACATTTCGTGCAAATCGAAAGATATATAGGGACTTTGGTGCACAATTTACATGAAATCGGACGAAACTATATATGGGAGCTAAATCTAAAACTGGACCGATTTTCACGAAATTTGGCAGACATCACTCTAGGCCCAATTCAGTACGTTATACCAAATTTCGTGCATATCGAAAGATATATAGGGACTTTGGTGCACCATTTACATGAAATCGGACGAAACTATATATGGGAGCTATATCTAAATCTGAACCGATTTTTCCCAATTTCAATAGGGTTCGTCCTTGGGCCAAACAAATGAGCTGTGCCAAATTTCATCCAATTCGGATCATAAATGCGACCATAAATACGAGACAGACAGGCAGACGGACGGACATGCATAAATCGACTTAAAGAGTTATTCTATGCATATTCTCAAAAGGGACCATGTGTCTATCTCATTTCCTTTTGCCTGTTACAAACATATGCACAAAGACATAATACCCAGTACCACAGTGTGGTGAAGGGTATAAATATGCTGATTATATGGATCTGTGGTGGCACCTGTATGAGGCACCTCTTGGGGTGTTTGAGATAAAAATTCTCCGAAAAATGGCCATGTTGAGCGAACATAAGGAGATGCGCACAAGACCGACGCGCTTGGAAATCTTTTTTAAGCTCGGCTTATGCACAGGCGTGAATTTTTGAAATAATATTTTTTCAAGGCTTATCAAAGGCGTGGATTTTTAACTGAATATTTTCAAGACTTAGTGTAGGCGTGGATTTTTAAAACAATATTTTTCAAGGTCCTGTACAGTCGTGGATTGTTAAAGTAATATATTTAAAGGTCCCTAAGATGCGTTGATTTTTAAAATAATATTTTTTCAAGGTCCAAACATAAAAAAAAATATTTTTTCATTTTTAGATTGACAAGAAATCGGATTTTATATTTGGAAATAATCCCTTTATGTTAACTGGCGATGAGTGGAAGGAAAGGAGAGCTGAAGTTACTCTAGGTCTTACAATGAACAGAGTAAGAAAGTCTGAAAATTGTCTCTTCAATGAAGAAGTTTTTTCTACAAAGGAAAAAACATCCTTCCCTGATTACTTTTTCTATACAAAATTTTCCAGATAAAAAATGTTTTCCCGGTCACCGAAAAGATCTGTAAATCAATGGTAGAATATATTGCACAACAATCGTTAATGGCTAGCAAGGTTGGTATTAATGCAAATGAGGTAAGTTGAACGGAATTAGTTCAAGCCCTGACAGTACACTTCTATATCCTCCACATTTTTTTAGCTCAGCTTACGTTTCACCTGTGAAGTTGTTACCGATTGTGTTTTGGGTGTAAAGGCCGAAGCCTTCACCAACGAATCCAGTGTTATTTTGGAGAAGACCAAAAACATCTTCGAGCAAACCCCTACCTTTAAAATTTATTCCATTTTGCATGGCCTCTTCCCATGGATTCAGAAATACAAGAAAGTTAATTTTGTTCCCAAGCCAATCGAAATATTTTTTGTCGATCTAATGCAAAATGTTTTGAGTATGAGAAAAGCTCAAATCGAAGAGGGGATTAATGTGGATCGTGCCGATTTTCTAAATTATATGCTGCATTTGCAAGATAAAAAGAATTTGGATCTCAAGGAGTTGACCGCGCATACAATGACATTTTTACTGGATGGATTTTTGACAACTGCAAATGTGCTGTCACATTGTTTATTACTGGTATGTTACACTAAAATTTTAATAGGGAGTTTTTTTTATTAAAATCACATTTTCCAGCTGGGCCGTGATTCAAAACGTCAACAAATTTTGCGTGAGGAAATCACAGAAAATTTGAAAAATATCAATGATTTTGAGAAAATTATGGATTTGCCATATCTCGATGCCAGTATTCATGGTAATACAGTGGATGGAAAATATTGTTTTATGATACTACAAATTTTTACTTTATTATTTTAGAAACTCTTCGTTTATTCCCACCCGTTAGCTTCAATTTGAAAATGTGTACCGAACCCGCAGAATTGGAAAACTCAAATGGCCATAAATTACATGTCGAACCGGGAACAGCCATCGTTATACCGACCCTAGCCATTATGACGGATGAAAATCATTATGAAAATCCACTATCCTTTGTGCCAGAACGTTTCCTCAACGGTGGTCTCAAACGCTACAAGGAACAAGGTCTATTTCTGGGATTTGGTGATGGACCACGTATTTGTTTGGGTAAGAAATGGGGTTAATGAAAAATAAATGTTGATTAAATTCTTCAAAATATATTTTTAGGAATGCGCTTTGCTTTAGCACAACTCAAAACAGCCTTGGTTGAAATCATTCGAAATTATTATGTTCACATTAATCCAAAGACCCGCCAGGACAACAAGTTTGATCCTATATATTTTATGTTGCGACTTGATGGTGGCATTTGGTTGGATTTTGAAAAACTGATAAAATGATAATATCTATATGTATGAGATTGTGTACTATAAGAATACTTATTAAAGCTAAATTAAATTCAATGTTAATTGTTAATCAAGGGATTTGTAAAAGAATATTTGTGGATTTTTAAAAGAATTTTTTTTTCATCGATCTAAACAAGGCGTGGATTTTTAAAAGAATATTTTTTCATCGATCTATACAAGGCGTGGATTTTTAAAAGAATATTTTTTCATCGATCTATACAAGGCGTGGATTTTTAAAAGAATGTTTTTTCATCGATCTATACAAGGCGTGAATTTTTAAAAGAATATTTTTCAGGCACCAAAAAAGACGTGGACTTTTACAAAAATATTTTTCAGGCACCAAAAAAGACGTGGACTTTTACAAAAATATTTTTCAGGCACCAAAAAAGGCGTGGACTTTTCAGGCACAAAAAAAGGCGTGGACTTTTACAAAAATATTTTTCAGGCACCAAAAAAGGCGTGGACTTTTACAAAAATATTTTTCAGGCACCAAAAAAGGCGTGGACTTTTCAGGCACAAAAAAAGGCGTGGACTTTTACAAAAATATTTTTCAGGCACCAAAAAAGGCGTGGACTTTTACAACAATATTTTTGAAGGAAACAATAGGAGCGGTGAATTGTAAAAGAATAATTTTGAAGGGAACAATAGGAGCGTGGATTTTTAAAAGAATATTTTTCAGGCAGCAGTACAGGCGTGGATTTTCGAAAGAATATTTCTAAGGGACCAATAGATATCCAGACACCAAAAATGAGCGGATTTTTAAAAGTATATTTTTCCATGCACCAAAAAGCAATACATGCGTGGAGTTTTAAAAGAATATTTTTTTCAGGTCCAAAACAGGCGAGTATTTTTAAAGACAAAAATATTTTCTCAGGCCCAATAACGCCTTGGATTTTTAAAGAAATATTTTTTAAGGCCCGAAGAAGTTTAGATTTTTTAAAGAATTTTTTTTATGGTCCCGAAGAAGTTTGGTTTTTTTAAAGAATATTTATACCCTTCACCACACTGTAACAGGCAAAAGGAATCGACATAGACACATGGTTCCTTTTGAGAATATGCATAGAATCACTTTCTGAGTCGATTTATGCATGTCCGTCCGTCTGCTGATGTTAAATTGTAAACAAAGTACAGGTCGCATTTATGATCCGATTTGGATGAAATTTGGCACAAGTCACTTATTTGACGCTATTGAAATTCAAGAAAATAGGTTCAGATTTAGATATAGCTCCCATATATACTTTCGTCCGATTTAAGGTAAATGGTGCACCAAAGTCCCTGAAAAGCATTTGATTTGCACGAATTTTGGCATAGCGTACTGAATTATGTGCAGAATGACGTGTGTTAAGTTTCGTGAAAATCGGTTCCGATTTAGATATAGCTCCAATATATAGTTTCACCCGATTTTAGGTAAATGGTGCACCAAAGTCCCTAAATATCTTTCGATTTGCACGAAATTTGGCATAGCGTACTAAATGGAGTCTATAATAAAGTGTGCTTAGTTTCGGTTCAGATTTAGATATAGCTCCCATATATATTTTCGTCCGATTTAAGGTAAATGGTGTGTCAAAGTCTCTAAATATTTTTCGATTTTCACGAAATTATGCGTAGCGTACTAAATTGTGTCTATTATGATGAGTGCTAAGTTTCGTAAAAATCGGTTCAGATTTAGATATAGCTCCCATATATATTTTCGTCCGATTTAAGGTAAATGGTGCGTCAAAGTCTCCAAATATTTTTCGATTTGATCGAAATTTGGCATAGCGTACTAAATGGAGTCTATAATAAAGTGTGCTAAGTTTCGTGAAAATCGGTTCAGATTGAGATATAGCTCCCATATATATTTTTATCCGATTTAAGGTAAATGGTGCACCAAAGTCCCTAAATATCGTTCGATTTGCACGAAATTTAGCACGGCGTGCTGAATTGAATCTAGAATTATGTGTGCTAAAATTCGTGGAAATCGGTTCAGATTTACATATATTTCGTCCGATTATATGTAAATGGTGCACCAAAGTCTTTATATAACTTTCGATTTGCACGAAATTTGGTTTACCGTACTAAATTGAGTCAGGCATGATGAGTGGTAAGTTTCGGGAAAATCGGTTCAAATTTTGGTATAGCTCCTATATATACTTTCCTCCGATTTTATGTAAATGATGCAGCAAAGTCCCTATATATCCTTCGATTTGCATGAAATTTGGCATAGCGTTGTGAATTGAGTCTAGAATGCTGTGTGGTACGTTTCGTGGAAATTGATTCACATTTCAATTGAGACTTGAATGACATTATTTCGTTTTGTTGAAATTGGTGCAATGTGTGTTTCAAACGAGTGTCTGATTGAATTTAAATTTTTAACAGTGCGACGTACCGAATAGCGTGTATCAAGGCATGAGTATGTTCCTTCGACTGAACATTGACATGCAATTGCAAGGATACATATGTAGAATATACCCAAAGTGGTGAAGGAATCATGTAATCGGCCCAGTCCGACTTTACTACTTTCCTTACTTGTTTTCATTTACAATTTTTTTTAAATATTTTTTTTCAATTATCAATTTTTAATTTATTAAATTTTTTCATTTGTATCATTAAGTTTCTAGTAAATTAAAGTAATTTTTGTCGATATGTTACACAAGAATTTTTGTTTATTTTTAACAAATAACGAACTTAATTAATGCTATCAAACTCCAACCATATACCACCATCCAGGCGCATCAAAAAATATGTTGGATCCAATCTGTTGTCAGTGCGTGTTTTGGAATTCACGCGAATTTCAAAATTGCGAACAATCTCCACCAGGGCTCCCTTTATTTGTGTCAATGCAAAACGCATACCTGCAAAACAAATCGATGTGGATTTAAATTACGGTTCAATAAATATAACCCCCTCAACTCACCTAAACATATACGTGGTCCATCACCGAATGCCAAGTACAACCCTTGATCCTTATATTTCTTTAAGCCACCATTTAGAAAACGTTCCGGTACAAAGTTGGCAGCATTTTCATAGTAATCTTCATCCAATAGCAGTGCTTGTATGGGCAGAACCACCGTCGTACCTTCGTTTATTTTTAATTTTTTACCATTTTTATTTTCGAATTCAATCGATTCAGTGCAAAGTTTTGTCGAAAAGGCACCGGGAGGGAATAGGCGAAGGGTTTCTATAAAAAACAGAATATTTTTTGTTATTTTTTTTTGAGATTTTTTTCAAATGCACCAAAGTCCCTATATAACTTTCGATTTGCACGAAATCTGGCATAGCGTACTAAATTGATTCAGGAAAGATGAGTGGTAAGTTTCGGAAAATCTGTTCAGATTTCGGTATAGCTCCCGTATATACTTTCCTCCGATTTTATGTAAATAGTGCAGCAAAGTCCCTATATATCCTTCGATTGGCATGAAGGATATATAGGGTGTTTTTAAGAAGGACTATTAGCCTATAATTACCATGTATACATGCATCCAAATAAGGCAACTCCATAATTGTATCAAAATCATTATTTGGACCCAATTTCTCAAGGATTTCATTACGAAGAATTTGCTGACGATCGGCATCACGACCCAGCTAAAATGAATATTTAGGGACAAAAAATTAGACGTTCTTTTTAATATTCAATGACTTCTTCTTCACCCACCAATAGCAAACAATGGGACAAAACATTCGCAGTTGTCTCAAAACCATCCAACAGGAATGTCATTGTGTGCGCGGTCAATTCGGGTATTTGTAGATTTTTCTTTTCCTGCAGATAGAGCATGTAATTGATGAAATCCACACGATCCTCATT